CCTTCTCTTCCTCTGCGCCACAGTCGCCATAAGACATGTTTAGCCCTCTGAAGTGTTCCCAAGTGTCATTTACTGACGTAATGCGAAAGCGATTCGTAGTCACCAGCTGTGTCGCAGTCGAAGTCTGCTACTGCCCGCAGTGGAAAGCGCCACTGATACAGAGAAATCCACTTAATGAAACGTTTCGCATGCCAAAAGCGTGGAGAGCCGTAGCATTGCGCAAGCTGTCCTAATCGGACGTCACGGAGATGCGTTAGGGTGCGGGGGTGGGTAAATAAGGAATCTAACCCCGCCATGGATTTTTGGAATAAAGTAGAATTTGTAAGGGAAGGAAATGTACCACATAAATATTACACGTAAAAAGAGCACTTCAAATTGTTTAAAAAGAAGTACGCTAGGGCGATAAGTAAAGGTAGTCTTAAATGACTTAAACCTAAGTCTGTAAATAAAGTTTCCGGCTGCCGACCCTCGGAGAACTGGCTGACACTTTCCCTAGAACTGTTTCGCGTAGGCTCAGACGCCTCACGTTGATGCCATAAAGGTAACCTCGGCTGGCGACGTCATTATATAGGGTCTGTGTGATACAAGGATTAATTGGGAAAGATCCTAAACTACTATGCCGGTATTTTCCTGGAGGGACTGGGGAAAGCCACCAAAGCCTCAGTCGTGATAGCCGCTAGTTCTCTACTCCATAACGTTCAAACCGGCTCGGGTCCACTCAACCTCCTGTACAATGGGTAGCGGGGAGGATACAGCTGCAGGGACGTCAAGCTGGTCACTCTAGTGCTGAAGTTGAGAATGGAGGAGCGATACATCAACTCCGCCATACGTCTTCATGGCAGAGTGCCTAATTAATTAAACCCAGAGATAACTTGACCTTAGCAGAGTTCTGCAATGAGATGGCACAGTTCTCTGGGCTGCAATGGCCCACAGAGAACCCAACATTCCGGTTTGACCAGACTCTTCAACCGACTGTGCTGCCCAAACAGGTGTCGTGCCTTCCTTCACCCACACGAAACCTTGAACGTTAACTCACATGATTCCAGCATTCGGCATTTAAAGCATGTGACTCAGACACGTTCCGCTGTGTGTCGAACCATGCCCAACTCAAGTTCGTCGTGTACATAAAAACAGTGGCATATTAAACTACAAAACATGGGGTTATTCTTCGATGTATAATACCTGTTTGTTACGGTTGTAAATAAATCTCTATATGTAAGACATAATCCAGTTAATGCAAACTTTATCAGTACCTTCATTTAACTACGTGGAGCTGAGCGCTTCTTGAGAAGACGCCAGTTGTGCAGTTACTCGAGAACCTCCCTAGCATTTTATGGAACCCGAAGGTTCATTCCGTGTTCATAACAGCCATCCACTGGTTCCTAACCTGAGCCAAATCAATCCAGTCCGTACGACCCTATCCTATCAATTTTAATATTATCCACCCACCTACGTATTGGTTTCTTAGTGGCCTCTTTTTTCCTACCTTTCCCACCAATATCCCATATGCATTCCCCAATTCGTGCTACATGACCTGCCCCGCTCATCCTCCTTGGCTTGATCATTCTAATTATACATGGTGAAGAGCACATGTTATGAAGCTCCTCATTAAGCAGTTTTCTTTATCACTATCTTTACGCAGCACAATGGTGTAAACGTCTTTCTTCCCACATTCCCATTGCAACGACTGACTGCAGAAAACCCCACATGCATTATGTAGTGAATTCCGAAATATGACAAGAAATGCTCACTTTCACCGACACCTTCAACAACAAAAATATGAATCCCCGTTCAGAAACAAGACAAGGCTGTCAAGCACAGTGGTTACTAGATGCACATTGCATTCCTAGCCCTGTATACAGTTTCTGTTCTGTACGGCCCTTACAGTGACTGATTCCCTTGTATTGGGGACGGGATGGGCCATACTGTGAGGCAGAAATTTAACTTCCAAATGCTGCTTAGATTATTTTGGGTTTGAGGTTCTCTCAGCGGTGAGTCTACAATCTTTTGAAACGCTGTACAGTTCAATTCTTCAAGGAAGTTACGAAGGAACGTATAGCCTGCATCTTCTGGGTCCAACAGTAAGTTCAATTCTTCAAGGAAGTTACGAAGGAACGTATAGCCTGCATCTTCTGGGTTCAACAGTAAGTTCAATACGTCAAGGAAGTTACGAAGGAACGTATAGGCTGCACCATCTGGGTTCAACAGTAAGTTCAACACTTCAAGGAAGTTACGAAGGAACGTATAGCTTGCATCTTCTGGGTCCAACAATAATCCAAGCAATAAACCCGAGAAAAGCTGCCGGCGAGAGGGGCCAACAGTGTATAGAAAACCTGTCCTAAACATAAAGAAGACGCTCTGGGGAGTGGGGGGGAGGTAAAATGGGGAGAAAGACAGGATCATTTTGTTAGAAAGTTCCCTGGCTTTGCCCGCTCGTTCTTCTGATTGGGTCGGTGTGAAAGTGCAGACGTTATGATGGTTATGAGCAGTAGCTTGAGACAAGGGCAGCGGAATTATAATGTTCTGAATTAATGTCGAACCGTATAATTCAGAAAAATAAATTTTAATTGCTTTGACAGCAAGGGGAACTTAATGTTGATGCACGAGAACATGCGGTAGCAATTCTGAACTTCGGATCCATCTCAAATTTGCTACAAGACTAAGGAAAACCAAGGAATGGCAAAAGGTAACTCGGTTTGGCCCTTTTGCAGGTGAAATGGCAGAGCTGGGAGAGAACTGTATGTATATCTATCCATAAGGAGCAGTCGGCACTATGCTACAAGTGGGAAGATCGCAGCTTCGATTTCCGATGTGGTCGCTGTATTTTTCAACTGACCAGCCGTACTACGGCCCTGGGGTCGACTCAGCCTCTAACATAAATGAGTACCAGGAATCTTCCTGGGGGAAAGAGCGGCCGGCGGGTAAGGCTGACAACCTTACCGGAGCCGATTGTCTAGAAAATGTTGGAGCCTCAACATCTCACAACCCTATGGGCCTCCACGGCCTGTTACAGGGATAGCGTTTTACCTTTACTTGAGCATGAGGCCAGCAGAAGGGGGAAGGGACGGCCATGGAGAAGCAAGAGGATGGGTGTTCTGGAAAGGCTGAGCCCAAGCCTTACCAGGGAGCACTGTGCACGAGCCAAGCGGTCTGGAG